ATTTAATCATATCTGCAAATTTATATTGAAATTTACATTATAAATAGTATAAAGAGTACACAAATGCAATTCCATGCTTCGTATTGATAGGAAAACTTTGAGTAGGATTGACATTACGCGTGTTTGTTATTTATTTCAACTAAGAGTACGTTCGAATTAGATTAACATATTGTCGTTTCTCACTTTTGTTTAAATTATTATAAATTAATACTGTCAATCTTTTAAGCTTTTTTTTGTCTTGGCATCAAGACGCAATTCATTTTTTATTTAAATTTATTTTCAAAATATTCGTGTTTCGAAAACTCAAAATTTAAATTGAACATCTTTCTATTTCAATTTCACCACGATTGACAATGATTTTGATATCGAGTAACTTATATGTGTACGTTTATACTATAAAATATTCTTTGCAGCTTTCATATATCGATTTGTAAATGTATCCTAATCCATTGAATAAGTTTGTATTGCAGAGTATACAGTGTATATATTTATACATGTTTAGGATCGAGAAGTGGAATGTAAAAAGTTGGGAAGCGAAACCTAATATTCATATCCAAGAGGAATGGTAATAATTAATTCAATATAGAACTTGAACTTGGCGTATCTGAAAAACCAAACTTCATCAAATTCTGTTTAGTATGTTTCAGTTTATGCTTCAAAAATTCTTCCCTCACTTCTTCGGACATCAGCGTAGGCTGGATGTGTTGACACAATTAGATTTATAATATATATATTATAAATATATTTATAAGAAAAATGTAATAAGAATTAAGAAAAACACTACAGTGTTTAATTATACATATTAGCTATTATATAATATATTTGAGCGGCCAAATTGATAGGAACGATTAGTATTTAACGATAAGACAGACAAACAGAAAACTAATTACATTGATCAATGTATACATACATGGAGAAAATATATTTTTTCTATTCTCTCTTTCCTATCAAAGATGTTGTACTATATTAGTATTAAGTATGGAAATTATTGCATAAAGCTTTGCAGGGCCGGCACAAGGCAGGTTCTGCGCGTTTTGAAAGGCCCCGCGGTCTACGAAAATTACTCAATTAAAAGGCATCGATTTTGATTAACTTCTTAGAGAATGATGATACCATGGTTAATGCGTTAACAGATGCAAGACATTTCTTTAGTAGCGATGATTCAGTTTAAAGGAGTGATAAAAATCATCAAAGTATTATTATTTAATATTCATCTCATACAAAACATATAATATGTAACAGTATTTCTAAATAAATAATTCCTCGTTGTAAAATTCAAGTGTAGGATTTGAATGTAAATTCAGGCTCCGCAAAATTTTTGAATTCGGTCCCGTAAAAGGTCACGCCGGCCCTGAAGCTTTGTGTAATATTAATACTTATTATGTCGGTAAATAGTGGATCATTTTTCTTTCTTTTTTTTTTTAAATTTTTAGTAGTGCACCCCGGGGGAGGATGGCTAGGATGTGACTGACTAGCTAATTAGCTAGTTGGTTTTGTCCTGGTCATCCGATATGAGTCTCCATATGCAGCAACCTCCACGTGGTGAGACCTGGACACTCTATATTATTTGAAGTATATAATTGCTAACTGCACATCGCCAGTAAGGGCCAAATGACATTATCAATTGTATACCAAGTAATATGAGCTAATGGCTGTAATTTTTCTCGTTTACAAGGAAATAAAAATATATTTTATATTTTTATATATTCTAATATTTTACCATATATGGTAACTTGGAATTAAAATCAACGCATATTGATACTATTATTATTATAAAAGTCTATAGTATATAAGATATAATTAATAATTTGTTGTATTGATATCTTATTCGTTTCTATTTCTATTTAAGCTACAGCTTAATAGCTAAATAGGCCATTTATATATATATAGGTCATAATCCATTATTAATCACTATTTGGAATCACAGTTTAGAAAGTAATTTTCCTGTTCTACCGAATGCGATTCTTTGGAAAAATTTACGAGAAAAACGAGAAAAACTATATAGTAGTTCACCTACTCTCCGATGGTGATGTTAGTTTACCTCCTTACAATGTATAATCGGATTATGATGCCTTTTCGAACGAGATCTTTCATGAAACGTTTGAAATTATTCAAATTTTTCCAAAGAATCGCATTCGGTAGAACAGGAAAATTACTTTCTAAACTGTGATTCCAAATAGTGATTAATAATGGATTATGACCTCGAGATGTTACGAAAAGTTTTAGACCCATCCATAAAAATAAACAAACTTTCTTTGTCTTACGTGACTCGACTTTTTCCCGAATACAAGGATTCGCCATGTATTATTTTGTATAAACAAGTATGTGTAATATAAAATATTAAATTATCTATCCTATTAATTGTGTGTTTGATATTTTGTTTACTTTCAGGAATGTACGGAATCTTTGAATAATGTTTCAGTATGTAATGATGATGATCAAGAAAATAGTAAGTTTATTAAATAACATTTAAGATTCTTTATTTAGATTATACAATTTACTTGAATAAACATTTCAGAATGTGATATTACTGGATCACCCTTAAAATATTCATTCAATGAACTTGATTTTGAGGATAGTACTATTGTGGTAAAACAAAGTTGGTTCAGAACAGAAGAAACATATCTACCATTAAGCAGAACAGAAGCATGGTAAACTTACAACAATTATATTAGACACTATTTACTAAATATAAGAATTAGAATTAGTAATAATAAGTATAATATAACTTTGGTTCAGTAATGCATTGAATGCATGTATTGAATCTATAACAGATGATTTTCCACCACTATTTGTACTTTGCGATGGAAAGGATAAGAGAGAATGTAAATTATTAGGTACAATTATTCAAGGAGAATGGTTTACCACGATAGAAGTTTGTTTAGCTGGTACTGAAACTCTTGATGCTATGAAAAAATCTTCTTCAAGTATTCTTCAACAACACTTGAAACTTTCACGTGTACAGGAACACAATGTGGGTATTGTAATTATTTTTGACAATTATGTATCTATTCATATCATTAACTGACTTCTTTTGTATATATATTCAGGTTTCCATATCTGCATTGAATACTTTTGATTTATTTGGAACAAAAGATGAAATGATTAATTGGGATAAAAATGCAAAAATTAATTTTGAGGGAAATTTGAGCATAGAAGTAGATACTTCTAGTTTGTCATTATATCCACCCACAAGAGCATCAAAAAATAATTTGGTAAGAATAATTTATTTTAATTACAATAAATTGCATATGTGAATTCTGTATTTCTTTCTAGGTTGCTCAAGTTGTAACAGGGTCAAATAGTAGTCCTTTGAAAGAATTGTGGAAACAATTACTGTTGTTAAATCAGTTCTTAAACATAATAGAGGAATACAAAAAGAATATATGTTTTCAGAATATTTTAGAATTTCCACATGATTTCTCAAGTCCATATAAAGAGGTATTTTAAAATTCTAATTTTTCTACTATTCATATAGTACCTTAAACTCCTGGTAATACTATTTTACTATTTAAAATAGGAACACAATACAATAGTAAGGAATTTAGATCTTTTGCTAAATGGAGATTATAGTTTTCGGAATAACGATATTAATGATGTACAAAAAATGGATTTTGCAAATGAATATTTAGAAAACGATATGAAAATTGAACAATATATACAAAATCTTCCATTAAGATATAACTTAGATCTTACAGACATTTTGTGGGAATTGCTCATCAGTGAGTGAATCTTATGCAATAAACATATACATTTATTCGTATGTTAAATGATATATATGTTTCTTTATATTTACAGAGAACAAGAATTATTTTGAAATGACAAAGTGTATCCATACAGTACTAGAAGATATTATAATAAAAGAGAATTTTGCTCAGGTATAATATCAATTTTTATGAAAAATATTTGTACTATCCATATTAAACATAGTCAAAGAAACTTTCTTTAATTATGCAACTAATACATGCTAGGTAAATGTGACTAATTCAACAAGATTCGCCAAAGTTATTTCCAATCCAAATCAGCAAAAAAATATTTCACATTTGCTGTCAGGTAGTTTACCATTAGAATATGTTATAGATATGGGCTTTGAAAAATTGTACAGAGATTATATGTATATTTTAATAAATGCAAGAGTCGATGACCTGTATAATATACAACACAAATTAGGAAATGTGTCATGTGATGAATTTATAGTTGATACCTATAGGTACGTGTAACAAAGATACATTTTATCTTCAATCATATGGTTTTCTGTTATATGAAACATACATTTGACTTTCTTTTAATGTTTCCAGGAAAAGATTAATATGTATGGCACAAATTCATGTATGTTTAGAATTTATGTTACTTTTACAAAATAATTTAGAATGCTCAACCTATGATATGAGGTCTCTGTTTCTATGTGCTTTTAATCAATACGTTTCTGAAAAATCGCCAATACAAAATTGGCATGATTTGCATCAAAACACGATTTATAGTTTAAATGCTCCACTTCCCACTTCAATAATTAATAATTGGGATAAGAAGTAAGTTTAATAATTTTATTACAAATTTTGTATCTAGGAACGACTATACATTGTTTACAGGATTCCTACTACGCGGAGAATTTCACTTTCTTCCCAGTCTAAATTATCAAAATTGACAACAATTAAATACTATAGCCGATTACCTATATTTCCAGTAGATGTAGAGTTTCAAGGTAAGAATTGAATCTTCAAAGTGAAATTTTGTGTCTAACATCAAATGTTTGTTTGTTATTTTTTAGATAATTCAAATGTAATGGATGAAGGATATTATGTCACAAACGCTGTTTGTTCATCTAATAAATTTAAATGAAGTATTGGTCTTACTAAAATTGTAATGCAGAAATTTGTACATAATATACAATTTCCACTAAAAAATATTAATAACAGAAGAAAGCATAGAACTATAAAGATAAGCAAATTCAAAACTATAATCTTTTTTGGGGAAGTACCTAAAATAAAAAAAAAAAAATATTGCGAGGTAATCATACATTTAATTCATAATTAATAAAATAAAAATTATAAAAGCATTTTTCAAATACACTAAATGTATTCTGTGTATAAATATAACTAGATTTATGAGTGTTTGTACTCTCAGTCATTGATAATGTACACTCCAATTTACTATTAGACATTACTTTCACTGACCTAAACCTCGTTAAATATATATATATTTATAATAATACGAATTATATTTTTAATTCAAACTATTTTTGAATGTACAAATATATATGCAAAGTATGTTATATTTATTAAAATACGTGGTTAAATTTCTCACGAAATTTATAGCCAACATTTAAAAGGAGACAGACTGTTATACACAATGTAAATCTTTTTTAACACAATACAGAGTGCTATTTTATGGAAATAGACCGTTTTGTGTTTCAAATTCATTTAACATACTTTGGTTGCTTTTCTGAGTATCAGTACCGTTAATTAATAAAAGTTATATCAACTCTAAGCCATTAATTAAAGCATGGCTTTGCATGCAATAAGTACATAACATAAACAGTTTTAATACTGAGACGATTCTACGTCATCTACTCCAGAAACAGTAGCTTGTTCGAGTACTTCAAGAAGCTTCTGCATTTCCATAGAATCCGTTGAATTATCAAGCGTTCTTTCGAGTGCTCGTACATATGACATACACGTACGTCCTTCATGGTCTAAGTTATGTGGATTTGCTTTATGCTGTAACAATGTAATATTATAGTATATCAACATTTTTTGTATCGTTTGTATACTATAATTGGGATAAGAAGAAACACACACCCATATTAAAAGTTGTGCCATAGCTAAGTTCCCTGTGGCACAAGCCAAGTGAAGAGGCGTCCTCAAATCTTCCATACTGACAGACATATTAATATCTTCGTAACTACATCTGGCCAAGCATAATGTAAACGCTCTCATATCGCCACTATGTCACGTACCATGCAAAAGAAAACAAATTATCTACGGGTTACATATAACAATGCAACTATAATTCACTTGCAATTTGAGAATATTTACCGACAAACTGAATCAATAAGCAATTTTCCTAAAGAAATGTTTGGGTTAATTGGCGGTAAAAAGATTTTATCTTCATATTTCCATCTGATCCATTGCTCCTTTTCTTCTCTAGGAGAATCTGAATTTGGTTTCTGTTTTCCATTTAAGCAATATTCCCAAACACTATTTGCTATATCATTACCAAGGGCTAACATTACACTTAATTGACCTGCGCTAAAGTTAATGTCACGTCTATTTTATGCCATAGAACAATACATGCATAACTTAAATTATATTTCTACGAATTTATATAATTATATCCTCAAAATCAAATCATTTATTGGTAGTATTATTACCACCTAGACTGAATAATTTTTCTTTTAAAATTAGTAGTTACACAGCACTTACGACCAATCATCTAAATCCAGTGATCTAACTTTCGATATGTGTGAACCTAAATTTCTGTGTATTCCTGAGCACTCAATACACATTAATACACCTAAGTTTAGACTAGCCCAATCTGGATCTAAAATATAATTGAGTATATCAAATGTATATGAATCATCGAATATAAAAATATTTAGAGTTATGCAAAAATGACTTACTAGGTGCACCGCAATCTACACACGCGTCATTTCCCGATACTTTATTTTTTATACAATGCATTTTGAAAGCATCAGTTTCGTTCTTCTTGTCCCCGTCACTATTCTGCAAACTTGACAATATTTGTTGTTCTATAGCAGAAATCCAGCTGTCTCTATCTTCAGCATTATTTGCTTCAAAATGCCAAGTCTTATTTTCTAATGAAATAATAGAAAATTCGAAGCTATCCTCTGAAAATTGAGATATAATTTAAATTGAAGTTGACTTGATTGGAGCAAAAAAAAAAGGAACTTAAATAATTTAACGTCTACCTTGAGCATTGGATGATTTGGAACCCTTAGGTGTTTTTCCAGGCACTTTCACAGTCACGTATTGTAATAATATTTCCTTTCCATTAGCATCGTTCATATAATCCTAGGCAAAAAATACGTACACAAAAGTTAATCTCTTAAATATAATGTTTGTCCCATTGTATTCTAAAAATATTGAATTACGTGATAATTACATGTAAACTGGAGTGATAAGTTAATCGACCATCTTCCAGCAATGTAACATATTTCTTTTTCCACTCTTTTAAAGATTTGCTACTGCGTTTAAATAAGTATCCTTGCTTCACAGGTATTTCTCTACCAACCCCCATTTCACCCATATTATATTTTTCTTTTTTAGATGGAGTAAAAATATTAGATTTTCTTCGAAATTTCCTATAATAAAAGAACATAATGAGTTGAATATTAGTTTTTATTTCATTTGATAATGAAATTATATATTTCAACAATTGAACCTGATAGTAGTTGGAGTTAAAATTGAAGACCTAAGATCCCCATGCTGATTCTGTGCATTATGAAAATTATCACTTATTGTTCCAGATTCATTTTGAGTTGAACTACTATGAAGAGATCGTGCATCTTCTTCTTTATCAGATGTCTGTGGAAAAATAATTTATTAGATAATACACTTTATCTTAATATATTAGAACCAATGGATAACTTACATTCAGTTTTGATGAATTTGTTGCTTCCATGTCTTTGGGAAGGAGCTGTACGTTTTTTGCAATCATTGGAACAGGATATTTAATTTCATTATCGGTTGCTTGTTGTCCATTACATCGATAATGCTTTGCAGATATATGTTGTATAATTTTTTGACACACTGTAATATTCAGAATACTCTCAGAATAATCATCAAAGTCACTGAAGAATAACAGTAATGAAGTAAGAAAAATATAACAAATAAGTATAATTTACCTACTATAAAAGTATAAACTTACTACAGGTTATCAATTATAAAGTACATTTGATTAAAAAAAATATATATGTAGGATTGTATGTAGTTTTAGAATACTTACCATCTTGAAATACTCTTTCAACATTTAAACCATAAATAGCACATGTTTCATAATAAGGACATCTTAAATCGCATGCCAATTTTCGTGGTCTAACATCTTTTATAACTCTGGGATTAGAATCATTAATTGAATCTAGACAGTATGAAATAAAAATAATTTAACATCAGGCTAATAATTGTGTACTGTAAAAACATAAAAAGTCTGAACATTAACAAACATTCTATAAATGTAAATAAAATGCATATTGTTTTACCTTGTACTCCTACAAGTATTTTTGGTACTTCTGACATATTTCGAAACGAACACATCCTATTATAGAAACTGCAAACTATTGAGAAACTTTCTTCACTCTCTAAACTAAACACGAGTAATAAAGCATCTATCCAAGCAGAGAACTGAAATGAGTGATATTCATGTTAAATGTTTAAGCAAAATATGTTACCAAATGATATGGGTGATACATATACGAATGCATCAATTATATAATGTAGTATATCTTTTTGTGTACTTGTGATTCCGGTACTCCACCCTCGTCTCTAATTAGTAAGAGATAACTTTGATCATTAATGAAGACTTCCTTTTTAAAACGACCACCCTCTGGAGATTCTTCATGCATAAACGAACCAGTCAGATATCTATGAACTAAAGCAGATTTTCCTGAATCAGATGAACCAATGATTCCTAAATGTAATTCTGGAACGTCTCTAGCCAATGTCCATTCATGACTATTAACGAAGGAATCTATAATATAGAATTATTTACATTTATTCTTAACCCAACGAAAGGAGAAGTAAAGAAAATAAAAAAAGTATTTAAATCCTTTTAATCATATTTATTACAACATATACCTTCGATTGCAACAACATGTTCACGAATCTGTTTCGCAACGTGTGCGTCAGATACGAGGTCTATCAAATCATAAATAGCATATATGGATGGATGAACACTCTCAAAACGTTGTATTTCTTGTCTAATCGCAAGGGAATGATCGTGTCCACTCTGATCAGTTGTCATTTTCTTGAAATCACTTTAAATTACTTTACGGGAGATCACATTACAGATACAGCCCAAAATTGCATTTTGCGCTTGTAATCACGATTAAAAAGGTGTTCACACATAATTTCATGTACCGATACTTGTACGTTATCGTGTAACATGTCAAATTCGAGTATTTATCAACATTATTAACTCGAAGAAAACCAGAGGTTATCTGGTTATCTGGCACTGTTTCTGCATAAAATAACCCCGCCTTCTGGGAAACAATAAAATTAGAATCTTTTGTCAAACTGTCAATGAAAAATTATTAAAACAAAATATTTCCTGATGGATTATTTGGTCGAAAAATATAAACTTGCGATGATAAAAGATACGTCGTCGAAATACTTTTTTCTCTTTTTACGTAAAGCAACGGCGAAACTTCATATAGTGTTCAATAGTGTTATACAGTATACAGAGTAGATCAGTCGCTTGCAGTCGTCTAAAATGCATATGACGGCTTGACGGTTCACATTATCAACCAATAAACGTTAGGTTCCATTGTTGAATGCAACTGCATGCAATTTGCATTTTAATATATTATTCCTTACGAATACTTTTACAATTTTTACGACTAAACGAAAATGAATTTAATGAAAAATAATGTTTTCAGTTAATTAATTGTAATGGAATCTATTTTATAACATTATAAGATAATTATATGTATATAAATAACTTAGCACTGTAAAAACAGATGTAACTTGTATATAAAACAATTTTGTTTACCACTCGGTACACAAATCAACCGTGGCGCATCTTTTAGCATTTGTTATTTGTTCTTCAGAATAATTCTAATTTTTGTTATATTACCCTACAAGTAAATCAAGATTAAAAGAAAAGTGTTTTTTATCAGTTCCTGGCAAGTATTATTAAATTAATTGGTTTTGCGCTTAAAAGGTTAAGATACTCGATTTGTTTATAGTGATCTTGTCTAATTGATAGCATTTTACAGGAATAATCACGATGACTGCGCAAATCGATGATAATATTTATGATGGGTACAATGATTATCCATCAATGTACAGCATTAAGGATCTTGAACAGGATGAATTTTTTCATGAGACTCTCAATACAGGTTATGGAAGAAGATCGATTGTAAGTGACAATAGTCGTATTTTATGTTAACGTTGTTTATCATTTTCAATAAAGAAATATTATTATTTCCTAATCATACAATAGTTTACACCAAAGGTACCTGGGACTGCCATGCGTTTAGGTACATCAAGTGGAGTAAGTGGAATTATGTATATATACTTGCATTTCAACATGTTGATACAATATACAATTTTTTGAAATGTTTGTAGTTTCATAGAACTGGTACTGGTATATCTGTACGTCCAACTACTAGTGGACTTCGGCCAATGACTGCAGTTAGAGGTGCTGGTTACACCAGTAACACTCGTCAAAATTTTGATCCACTTAATATGGGTAATGCTGTTAAGGGGCCTGCACCACCCTTAGAAACTGGGAAAGAAGACACGTAAGATCATGTTACTAATTAATGTTCTTTTATATATATGAAGATAGAATTTCAAAAGAATATATCTTAATAATTCTGTAAAAAGGCCAGTAGAGAAGATAAAAGTAGCTGAAAGAAAAATAATGGAGTTAATAGAGAGTTCAGTAGAAGCAGCATATGAAAACAATATGAGAGTTGCTCTAGAGAGAGCAAGAGAAGCATCTTCAAGAGAAAGGGCTCTTATTAGACTACAAGAGCAGGCTGGACTCAGTGATAATCACAATGTAGATTTAACATTTGCTGTAAGTATTATCATGTCTTTAACTATAATTGAAAAAAATGTATCTAATATTTTACAATTTTGCAGGTCATTTTTAACTTAGCAACCCAATACACCAACAATAATATGTTTACAGAAGCTATAGCAACGTATCAAGCTATAACAAGGAACAGAATGTTTAGTAACAGTGCTAGATTGAAAGTGAATATGGGAAATATATATGTTAAAATGGGACAATTGTCTCAGGCAATTAAAATGTATAGAATGGCATTTGATCAAGCACCAGCAGCTCATAAAGATTTAAGGTAATAGAGTAACAGTATATACTTATTGCTGATATAAGTTGGGTTTTCATTGTTAGATTTTTATCTTGAGTACTTAAACTAACATTAATTTACTGAATAATTCACAGAATAAAAATAATGCATAACATAGGAATGTTATTTGTACAAATGGGTCGTTTGGAAGAAGCAGCTAATAGTTTTGAATGGGTCATGAAAGAAAGAGCTGAATTTAAAGCAGGGTTGCATGCAGTTTTATGCCATTTTGCGTTATCTCATAGAGATAAAATGAAAAGAGCATTTTTAGAATTATTAGAAGTTCAACTTAACGTAGATCAGGAGGACAGATATAACATAAGTACTGTGAGTTGGGCATGTTTAAAAATGTCATTACATAAAGTGCTACTTTAAGTATCGCCCACACTCTGTAGCTGACTATTTTTTTTTTGCACTTTAAATAATTTTAGTATGTATTTTTTAAAGTGATAAATTGTAATTTTGTACATAATCATTTAATGCAGCAATACAAATTTATTACTATACTAATGAGCACACTGCACAACATACATTGTAGACTGTTAACAAAATACTTATCTAGTACCCTTTTAAAATATCATTTTTGTATTTTGCAGGATGATGTTGCTTCTAATATATTGAATGAAATTTTAAAAAATGACGATTTATCTAAGCTGGAGAAAGAACTGAAATTGGAAGCTGAGAAAACTATACTTTGTGCTGCGAAACTCATAGCACCTACTATTGAAGATACACTTACAGCCGGATTTGCTTGGTAAATTTTTAGGATTACTTTATTATGAACTTAAAAAAAAATGTTGTTTTATTATAATCGTATTTCCTCAAGGTGCGTTGATACTATAAAATCGTCAGCTTATGGACCACTAGCTGCTGATTTAGAAATAAGTAAAGCCATGGTATTTCTACTTAATCGAGAAACTCAGCTAGCTATAGATACTCTGAAAATGTTTGAAAATCGAGAAAGTAAAGCTAATAGTGCAGCTGCGACTATGCTTTCTTTCATTTATTTTCTTGTAAGTGGTTGTAGACATGTTTGATTATGAATTGAATGTTAATATTATGTTAATAATTTATATTAAATCTGTAGCAAGGAGATTATGACCAAGCAGAAAAATGTGGAGAAATTGCTCGAAATACAGATACTTACAATGCAGCAGCGTATGTTAATTTATCTGCTTGTGCAGTGAGAAAAGGCGATCTACATATTGCTAGAGAGCTTCTCTTTTGCGCATTAGATACGGATGCTAGTCATGTGCAGGCACTTTATAATCTAGGTAATTTTTAGTTATAGATGTATAGAAACAGGACATAAATGAAATCTTATTTGATAGGTTTAGTATATAAAAAACAAAATATGTATGAAGAAGCACTGGAATGTTTTTGGAAAGTTCGTAATATTGTTAGACACGATCCACAGACACTATATCAAATTGGTCATTTGTATCAACTTATGAGTGACACTGATCAAGCCACAGAATGGTATTATTATCGTTTCTAATCTTTATTTTTAATTTAATTGATTTTAGTATGAATAACTGATTTATGTAATCGTATATCGTGAAAAATTGTTTTAAAATATAATAGGTATAATCAGTTGCTTGGCATAATACCATCTGACCCCGGAGTTCTACAAAAAGTAGGTGAACTGTATGATAATGCTGGAGATAAACAACAAGCGTATCAGTTTTATAGCGATGTAAGTTGTTTTATCATATATGTATTTCATTTCATACAATAATTATATTAAAATTTCTATTTATTCAGTCTTACAGATTTTTCCCCGCAAATTTTGAAGTAATTGATTGGCTTGGATCATATTTTGTATCAATGCAGGTAAAGATTTTCTCGTTCTTCTTTTACATTGAATGTACGAAATAAATGTTTACATTGTGATGTATTTTAGGTTGCTGAAAAGGCATTAATTTATTTCAAAAAAGCAGTAGAACTTGCTCCCGACGATCCAAGATGGCGATTACTCGTTGCTGCATGTTTAAGGCGAACTGGCCAATTCCATAAAGCTTTATCGGAGTATCAAGATATTCATGAAAAGTTTCCTGAAAATGTTGAATGTCTTAAATTCTTAGTTCGTTTATGCAGTGACCTTGGTTTGAAGGAGGCACAACTATATGCAACGGAATTAAAACGGGTCGAAAAAGCAAGAGAACTGAAAGATAGACAAGGATCAGCGAGACCAGGTACAGGAGATCGTAATCGTCACATGTATATAAAAGGAGTGTCATAATCGTTCCATATATATGAAATTGCTGCTACAGGATCAAGGATGAGTAACAGCGGAGCATCATCGCGGACTGGTTCTGGAATGAGTGTATTATCGGATCACAGATCAAGTCCCACCTTCGGCAGAAGAGATGCTCAAAGTTTGAGCAGCGCTGGTGTTGCACGACCCAATCGAACCTCTACAACTGAAAATTACCCAGAAATGACGTCCGATGCAAACGATCAACCAAGTACGTATTATTAAAAACCAACATTTTTGCGGAAAGTGAGTAATTTTATCCTAAGCAATAGATGTTTCTTCTTCTTTGAGTCGGTTACAAACTTCTCATAATATTGAAATTACTAAAAATGTTCTATACTAATGTCAAATTGAAAGGAATGTATTATTTTTATTTACTATATTTTATGTTTAATTAATCTTGTGTTAAACATGAGAAAAGTAAAATATTTTTATTTATATTGTCTTTGCGAGCATCGAACGTTTGATAGACTTATCAAAGCTTCAGAATTGCGTAGGTTTATTTGAAAGGAGCATTAACAAGAATGATCTACAGATGATGGTTGAATTGCCTTAATGGATTGAACAGATGATTGATGGGTTTGGCTATTTTAAACAGCCCGTTTTTGCCTTCTCCCTACAGAGTAGTACCTCTTTGACGTTTACATTGGTCTACAATTTATTTCAAATACTTCAAAATTGTTCATAACAAAATACTAAATATGATAACGTTCAGTTACAAATAGTTAACTGTAAAAGTAAATGTTCTAAAATATGTTATGTAGGTACTCCATACATAGATCCAATAGGTCCTCTACCTACCCGTCCCATGACGTCCGTTGGAAAAAGGGACGACGATTTTGGCGATGAAGAACTCGGCGATGATCTTTTACCACAGTGACGAGAACATAATGTTTATTGCTTTTATACTGCACTGCTAATAGAATATGCGAGTCGCATTGCGGTCAATGTTTCTAAAACATTAAACACAAAGTTGAACACGTTTTGATTTTATGGAGTTTTAATTATTCGATAACTGTAAGTAAACAAATACACAGATTTTAAATAATGCAGTATTTTTCGTAATGAAGGAACAAGCCGATTAGATATATTCAATTCATTCGAGTTCATTTAAATTGCTTAAATTAACTTTGTGTCAATGGCCTCATGCGCGAGTTAATACAATCGGTAGTATTTCATAAGGAGTCGATATTAATGACGTTTGCAAATATTGTTTTATTGGGGTTTTACAATTGATTTTGATAAGTTTCCAATCTTGACGCGTATTACGAATTCTTTAATTACCATTTCGAAGTGCAACATATATAGTCGTCTGTAGCAGGCCACTCCAACTCAGGCCCTTGGGACCAGGGCGCACCGAAACGGCCCTGTGTCAGCCCCGGGCCGTTCCCCATCGCAAGTTCTCACGCGCTCAGTGATGGTTTCTTTCTTTGTCAACCGTTAGCGATAAAACAATTGCACATTTCACGGAAGATGTCAGCGTGGTCCTTGCACTCGCAGGGCTGAGCTGGTCCACGGTGGCCTTTCAGTTGGAGTAGCTTGGTCTATAGGATGGTGCCGTACATTATGAAGTCACGAGGGTCGGCCGATTGTAACGATCTAAATTTAAACACGCTGGCCAATTTAATCAAACTCCATTCAGCCTATGTAGTTTAGGAGACGGATGTTATTTTATTGCAGCTATAATCAAACTCCATTCAACGGGCACAACGCGAGCGTTCTTTTATGTTTACATATTTAGTAAATTTATGGTAAATAAATTTCTACTATACATCAATTATATATACATGTTTTAATTCTTCTGTTTTGTCTGCATTTAGATTAAGCAAGAAGAATAGCTGCGTGCGTCTCTCCTGATCGTGTTTGATTATTCATTATTAATCACGATTACTGATTACTCAGCAGTGACTATCACGATTTACATTTTACACTGGTTTTCAGTATTACACGCCTCTGGCCCTTTGCTCCGTTTACGTTCCTGGACCGTGATTGTAACAGCCTGATTGTAACGCACGCGATATTCTGTAATGAGTGTGTGATCGTGTGAATTGGCATAATATTTCAGTTCGGATTTGTGAACGTGCATAATTGAAAGTGCGTCAACGTGTGCAAAAGTGTGCGCACGTATTCAGGGTCAGCGCTGGAGTTAGTAATGTCTCGATACAACTTCCAAATTAGGCGCCACCTTCTAACTCACGTTACAAATTAAATTAAATCAAACCAGAGTCTAAGTTTAAATCCAGAGTGTACGCCATACATTTTCTTGAAGGGGTTGGATACATACATCTACGAAAGCAAAAGATAAAGACTCATTAAAGACTTCTCGTCTAGATCGAAATGATTAACATTTGATACATACACTTTTATCTTATCACTGTTAATGAAAATGCAAAGAAAATTGGAAATGTGTATAGTGTAATGGCACTCATTTGTAGTAGTCATGGCACTCATTTGAACTCAATTTCACGCGGAGAATCGTTGATTCGAACACAATGAATTTTCTATTTACGAAGGAAAAAACCACCTGTCCGTTATCAAAGAAGGGGCGCTCCATTGCATCGTTTACGTGTACGGAGAGTCCGTTTTACGCGTATTCCTTGTTCGTAGTTGTGCAATATGGCGCGTGTTGGTCGCGTGTATAGCGTTTGGCGCGCGCCCGCGCACGTAGCAATACGCACCGATACGGTTTTAAAGATCCGAGCAGTGGGAAAACCGACGATCCGGAGGCACGGCCGAGCAGTTCCTCCTCCGAGATCCCGAGTACATTTCACGGTATCCCACCCACGTGCTCGTACGTGTGCGTGCTCTGTCACGGTACGTCTCTCTCTCTCGAGAAACTTGACAGTCATTGACCGGTAACTGGACCCAACATAGGAAGGATAGAAGAGGATCGGCAAGTTGGAGCGTTTGCGGAGTCAGCAGTCGTACGTAGAAAGTGTTCGGGTGAGCTTGTTGCGTTTACTCGGATATCCTTCGCCGAACGCGTGCAACGTTTGGCCCCGTTTGAGTCTCCGTTGTTGGTAAACGGAAGCATCCGATGTCGTTTAGCGATTGCATGCACATTTTTCGAACACTCGGCTCAGTGTCGTTGTTCACCTAGCTCGTCGATAGTGTCATTATCGTCGCGACTGTTTGGCGGAATTCGCTTAAAGTCATATTTACATCCGATACAAGTCAACGTGGGTCCTTGAAATGTTGCACGTGTTGTCATCGCGTTCGTTATTCTATTCCCAATGATGGATAAGCATCTACGTACGATTAGTCCGGTCTTTCTGGTATTTCGTGATTACCATTTATCGTTTCACGCTCGTATTAATGCGGTTTTTCGCGTATTACTCGATTTAGATTCTGCTACTCGCTGCTTTGGATAACTCTGCGACATCGGCATCACGCGACGTCCAACATACCTTCCAGTCACATTTGTCAAATATCGCGGATCTCGTTGGACGTTATCGTTTCGATCATTCTTGTAATTTTCGTGTCAATTTTTTCACAAGGCGCATCGTTACCTAGCTTGTTGTTTTCCTTATCGCGTCTCACAGTGATTACGATTATATCACCTCGATAGCGCCGGCATTAGATTCTCGCGGTTAATCTCGTTTTAATTTATTGTTTGCGAATGGATACAATGTCTCGTGTCTTTTTTTTTTTATCGCGCGTAACAAATTGGAGAAACAGTCACGGAGTGACAGCTATCTTGGATGTAACAACGCGTGTTTTCAAACGTGTTTAGATTCAGTGATCTCATCAATAACTTTAAAGTGACACTAAAAATAACAGGGAAGGCGCCTGGGGCCACAACTGTTGTTACACAGTAATTTCTCGATTACGAAACGGCAACAAATCGATGACATCCATCCACGGCAACAAGACGACGTACCATCTTATCGCTATACATTGGCGTTTTTTTTAGTCGGACGATCGTTGTTTTGATATTGTTATTGATGCTCGAACGCGATGAATTTCCGAAAAGATTGTATTGGAAAATTTAACGAGCCGCTAGACCCGAGAGAATTCTATTCGATTAAGGTTTATTCGAGACCTTGGTGATGATGGTCTCGTAATTCACGGAAGCTCTATAATTCAAGCGGTAAAGATCATACATAATCGGTGCACGCTCTTAACGAAAGGGTAGTCCGTTATTGTTGCGCGAAAAGCCCCAAAGGGTTTCCAATATTTCAGGAAACTGGAGCGAAATTTTTCACTTTTCCTTGCGTCGTTAAGGGGTCACGGCTAGTCAGGATTTTCAAGAAATCGATCTTCCAGTTTTTCGATTTTCGTTAAATATATAATCTTGAGTGTATCGAACAGAAATTTTGGTCCGACAAATATTTTCGACGTTACAGGCATAGTTATGAAGACTCTCGTACTTAGTGTAAACTGTATTTGAAACTTTTAATGTTTCTAAATCGGTGATCAAAATATCTCAGGAACGATCGAACCGATTGGTCTTAAATTTTTACATTTTTTCGTTGATTTCATCAAAATTGGACAGTGGCGAAGTATTGCTGTCAAAATTTGGTCCACTTGCCTGATTTCTTTTTGTATTTTTTGATATTCGAAGTGCCTCGAGTCGAAAAATCGGCAACGAAATTCTTTATGTACGAATATGAAAAAAAAATTGCAAAGAAAATGGCCAAGGAAAATATTTGTTAAACGCAAATAATTCATAATCGATGCCTTTATGTTAAGTAATCGCGCCAGTAGGCTACGTCGACGGTGAAGTTTTCGCAAACAGTATGTTTTTAGCGTTATAGCTTTTGTTTTTAACGTTATTAGCAGTTGTTCTTCGAATAAACTATGATTTGGGAATAGGTTTTGTCATTGACTGCCAGCGTCGGAGACTGTCACTAAAAATTGTACGATTGGAAAAATGGCAGCCTATTAACCGACTTCTTTTTCTATCGTGTTTATATATAGATGCTTTAAATCACGATATCCAGTTGTTATCTCCGTTATCATTAACCCTTTGGTTCATAGAATTAAAAAGTTCACTCTACAAAACATGCAGTGCTGCTTGTTTTCCCCAGAGTGTCTACTACCGAAATAAAAAAATTCGACTACTGTAACTTCTATTTTTTAAATGGGTCAACTATTGGAAGAATCTTTATCGCATTTTGATACAATCTTCACCACGTAGGAAGATAAAGAAGACGTTACTGCCTAGTCCGGTGATATAGTATAACAATTCAGCAAGAAGCAAAAGATCATAGTGTTTCCGAGGTAGAATGTCTTGAAAATGTTACCAAAATATGAAAAAGAAAGCTGTTTGGCATAGTAATACATTTGCTACAAATAGCAATATTATTCGTTTCAAATTTACCAATTAGATACTTCAATAAAATTTCTCTAGCAGACCTTGTCCTGGACGTGATGTTAAAAAGTAATCTTTCGTCGAAGAGTCATTAATTAACCCAATAGTTAATCAGTAGATATAATTAGTTTGAACAGATTGTCCAAACGATTATTAACGTCGTGACTAAGATACGGTCTGTTAATTAATCCTTATCATTGAGACGAAGAGGTGGACCTATTAGCACGAAAACTATTAGTTACAAAGGATAGAATTGATTCTGATAAGTTTCTTAAGTATCTTTTGCGTGTAAAATTGCCGCTCCTATGAGCGTGAGGTCTTAAGTCAAATGGCTCGACTGATCCACACTTTGATAGGGCACGATGGCCCACTCTTTCGATGCTGTTTATATCTCACTGAATTTGTACGCTCAAAAACTAATACAAATTAAACATTGTTTTCCTATGAAGTATAATTCTTTCGTGGATTTTAATTGTACCAAATTATCGCGTCTCGGTGAGTATATCGATGATTAAAGGACCCTATCAGGCAGCCAGTGACAAAACGTGACAAGATAGCAGCAGAGTATAAAAAATGAAGGGGTTTTCAAATGGGACTTTAGAATTTTGTTTTTTGATAAAAAAGATACGCCTGCGTTTAATTATAATCATGTGTACCTACTTCTAGGTGATATAAATCGGATACATTGCATACCGTTCGCTTAATTAACAAATAAAATCCTAACTGGTCCTTTAGGGAAAACCTGTAATTTATTTGATTAATTAATGAATTCATTGGGCTATCCTGAGACCAAGAGGCGTCTTTTGAATCGTGGCGGTCGACGCGGTCCGTGCGACGAGTGTGCGTATTGCACTGCGGATTAGAATCATCACGTCGGGTCAACTGGCTGAATTATCCTGGTTGACGTTTTGCACCTTCCAATTGATTTTAATGGACTTTGATGGCTCGGAAGAATATTCTAGCGGGCATTTCGCGGTGCCTTCTTGCGGGACCGACCGTGAAAAGTCTACGAGCACCGCGAGCCAACCTTGATGAGTTCTTCTTTTTTTAACACTTGGCTCCCAAAAGTGCGACAGTTTTTAATCAAATTTTCTAAATATTTAGAGTTATTTAAGAGGATATCAAGGTGGTGTCAAGAATGGCTTCGAAATAATTCCAAAAATGCTCCAAAAAACGATCGATAGGAGTGAGATTGAGCAAGTCAATAAAACATGCGTACGTGTTTTATTTAAAATTTTCCATGTCGTTATATCCGGATGCAGTGTTCTCTTTTTTTTAAGATCAAATGTACAATTAGTTTGTTTAGAGGAGCTCATGTTTCCGTTGGCGTAACTGTGTTCCACGCGGAATTCAAGATTGAAGACGATCTTCATTCTTTGAATAATACATTTCCCGTCGTTCAGACTAATGCTTCCAACCTGGGCTAAGTGATTCTTTTGCTTGCGAGCCAGGGAAGTCGATTATTTAAAGGATAATTAATAGCCAGGGAAACTAGTTGCAAAGGCTCCTGCAACAGAATTTTGTGTTTTTCATGTGGAAGGACAGTAAAAGATCATATAATAACCAAGTAGATGCATAATCTTGTTATATGTTTGGATTGAATTTTTCCTGCAAAACTTCAAAGCTCCCGCGACACGTTTTTCCGTTATCCATTTAAGCTTACACCGTAGAGAAATTCTTTTCTTTGTCGAATCTTATCATCGATTGGTTTTAACTGTGCAAAAAACTAAGTTCCATTTATTTTATTACTATCCTCTCTATCACAGATAGTTTGTACGTTTACAAACCATATATCGTAATCTCTATATGTGTACAATAATTCCGTATAAGCTTCGATTACATACTCCCTGTTTATTTCTAACTATTATAAAATGTTATCAAATATTTTTAAACAAAATTTTTAGCCTTGTAAAGTGTTGAAACGCCGACGATTAATGAAAATTAGTGCTATTTAGTGCTAAATAAAGGCTGTAAAAAGAAATCCTATTCCTGTTGCGATACTCTCAAAATTAATTATCAAAGTTAGGGCTTTTTTTCAGTGTCTAGAGTGTTGCGATAATCGACTCGATTGATCATCGATACAATTTTCTTGTCTCTGGCTCGGGGTCTGCGTAGTTAGGAAACGTGACCACAAACAATTGAATTTTTATTTATGCGGCTACCAACGGTTATGCATAATTTGCAAGTTCGTTGCAATTTCTTAGTATTGGTAGCGTGCAGTGTGGGAACCACCTACAATAATACGTTT